ATCCCACTGGTGGGGGAGTGAGTGGCCATGTGGGGTTTGGCTGCTGCTGTGGTTAAACCACCATGATGACACAAAATGCAACTGATACGTATTGAAGGCACAGGAGTAGCTGAACAGGGAGACTTTGCGGGAAATTAAGAAAAAAGAAGAGTTTACCAACTCTGGAAAAAAGGGTAGGCTACTCAAGAAGAGCTCAGGAATAAAGTCAGGTAATGTGGAGCGGCCGAGCAGCTCCGTGGGGCTTGGCTACTACTGGAGCTAAACCACCACAATGACACAAAACACAACTGAAAACAACACAGTTCTGCCAAAGCTGTTTAAGCCCACCTGGATCCATGCTGATCCTGGGAGAACTCCATGATGTGGCCCGCGATCTCCCTGAGCTGCAGGTTGGGGTAGCGGTTGTTGCGGAAGTCCTCGAGCAGGCGGCTGCGGCCGGAGGGCATCACGTCGGACATGCCGTAGCGCAGGCGTGACGAGGGGAACAGGGTGCTGCTGGGGCTGAAGAGGCTGGAGGCACTGCTGGCACTGCGGTACTTGGCCTCCGCGCCCGGCGCCGCGGAGATGTACCGGCCGCTCCCGTTCGTCAGCCCTCCTGCAAGGCACAAACACAGCCCGGTCCTCAGTGCCTTCACAAGGAGCACTGAGGGGCTGCAGAGGGGCCAGAGAAAGGCAAGGAGGTTCATAAAAGGTCTAGAACACATGCCCAATGGGGCTCAGAAGAGGTTTAAAATATATACCCTATGAAGCGCATTAAAGGTCTGGAAGACATGCCCAACAAGGCTCATTAAAGGTCTAGAAGACATGTCCATCAGAGCTCATAAAAGGTCTAGAACATGTGTCCAATGAGGCTCATAAGAGGTATAAAACATATGCCCTATGAAGCTCATTAAAGGGCTGGAAGATATGTCCTACAAGGCTCATAAAAGATCTGGAAAACATGTCTAACAAGGCTCATAAAAGGTCTGGAAGACATGTCCAACAAGGCTCATTAAAGCTCTGGAAGAGATGTCCTACAAGAAAGGTCTGGAAGACATGTCCAACAAGGCTCATAAAAGCTCTAGAAGACATGTCCATCAAAGCTCATAAAAGGTCTAGAACATGTGTCCAATGAGGCTCATAAAAGGTCTGGAAAACATTCCTAACAAGGCTCATAAAAGGTCAGGAAGATATGTCCATCAAGGCTCATAAAAGGTCTAGAACACATGTCCAATGAGGCTCATAAAAGGTCTAGAATACACCCTGTGAGAAACAGCTGAGAGTTGGGTTTGTTTACTCTTGAGAAGGAGTGACCTCGTGGCTCTCTACAAGTACCTGAAAGGGGATTGGTGTGATGCCACTTGTATCACAATGCACAAACACAAGGTGGTCTTCATGGCCTTCAGAAAGGATATTGAGGTTCTGGAGCAAGTCCAGAGAAGGGCAAAGAAGCTCATAAAAGGTCTAGAATACACCCTGTGAGAAACAGCTGAGAGTTGGGTTTGTTTAGTCTTGAGAAGAGGCTCAGGGGTGATCTCATGGCTCTCTACCACTACCTGACAGAGGGGTAGTGAGAGGGATGGTCTGTTCTGTCCTGCCCTGGCTGCAGGGAGAGGACTAGAGGGAACAGCCTTGAGCTGAGACAGGGCAGAGTCAGATTGGATATCAGGAAAAATGTGAAGGTTCAGGCACTGGAATATTGCCCAGGGAGGTGGTGCAGTCACCACCCCTGGAGGTGTTTAAGAGGTGCCTGGAGGCACTGGTGGATCTGGTTTAGGGTTTAGGGGTTACAGCAGTGACAGGTTAATGGTTGGACTTGATGATCATAGAGGTCTCCTCCAACCTTGATGATTCTATGGTAAGACCAAGGGATTTGTTTCCAATCTGTCTGTGGTATTTGGCTCCTAGTTCCTGCTGTTCCACCATGATGGGTTTCTGGCATTCAGCTAGGCACTATTCCTAGGCAGAATTCCTTCATGGAAAGGGTTGTCAGGCATTGGAAGGGGCTGCCCAGGGAGGTGGTGGAGTCACCATCCCTGGGGCTGTTCAAGAAATGATGATGTGGCACTGGATGACAAACTCAAGGACTGATTTGAAGGATGAGTACTGGGGGTGAGGGACACAATGAAGACAACATTAAGTAAGAACAAGGCAAGTATCAAAATCGTGGATATAAAAACCAAATCACTATTAAATACAGGCAAGTAACAATGAATTAAAGCAAAGAAATAGTTTCTAAGGCTGTGCTTTCACAAATGGCCTCAATATCTGCACCCACAGTGAGAGAGATGCTGTTACCCAAAAACTGGTCTGTGGGGAACATGTGATGCTTCGTCACACAGTGAGCAAAGTGAAGTGTTGATAGGAACCAACTTCAACCTTCAGACACTGTTTCCTTGCCTGTGACTTCTCAGGATTTGGTTGAGTGCTGTGGCAGAGGATTTTTCCCTCTCCTGCAGGGCTCGGGATCCCTCTGCTGGTCACAAAGCACAGGAAGAGCCAGCATGGATTTTCCTGGATGGAACAAAGTTCTTCCAAGGAAAATGCCCATAACACATGGGAACCTGCCACCTGCAAGGCCAAGGGGAGGCAGGGGGGCAGAACACCTGGAAATAAAGCTACAGGGAGTCTGTGCCAAGGAGGGAAGATTCCAAGGCACGGGAACAGAGCTGCTCCTGGCAGCTCTGCACTGACAGGGACTGAAATCATGGTGTTAAATCAAACAGAGCTGAGGGAGCTGCACTCCTTGGCCACTGATGCCTGAAGGAAGCTCCTGTGCAGGAAATACTACATCAGAATTATGTATCTGATAACAGCCTAATGACTCATTCATTATGATCCTTGTGGGTCCCTTCCAGCTCAGGATATTCCATCGTTCTATGTCTCCAAGCTGGGGAAATGTCCTCTGGAGGTGGTGCCAAACCTCCTCTTTCCCAAGGAGAGCTTTGTGCTCACATCTCTGCCTTGCAATGTTGTGGCCATCACCTTCTCTAGCTATCTCACTCTTTAACTGAGCAGCAACTCTGAAAAGCCAGAGGGTGACTCCTGTTCCATTTGGGAGTGATAAGACAAAGTGTGGATAAAGAGCACAAGGGCTATTGCTAAAGAGCTAAAAATGAAGGGACAGATGGGAACACCCAAATGTGTTGTTTGCACTAAGGGAAATTCAGGCAGTGAAGTTCAGAACCACATCCTGCACGTGGGGGGAGAGAACCTGGGGGAGTCACTTCAAGTCACTTTGATTTTGGGGTTACACGGTGACAGAAGTTGGCAATAAATCTGAGCTGCAATCAGCAAATCCCTGGTAAAATGCAGTGAGAGTTGTGGGTTTGACTTTGTCACGTCTCAGGGCTGTGTGAGTCAATCACTCCTTGTGTTGGTGGTGTGTGGAAAGAAAGATCCAGTTCTGCCTCTTCTGGCTCTCTGAAAGCTCAGAGTTGTGAAAAATAGTGTGGATTTATCAAGCTGGGATTTTTCTGGGCTTGCAAAGTGACCTTGTGAAATGTCTGGGCAATCACAAGTACCTGAAATAACCACAGGCAGCTCTTACAAAAAACTGCTGGAGGAGGAAGGCTGAGCTAAATATGTGCTTTATACTCCAAGGTGGAAGCAATGTGCAACTGTGCAGAGCTGGGGGAAAGCAGTTGTCAATAAATACACACCTTGGGCTGCTAAAGGCAGGGATACCTCCCACTAGCTCAAGTTGCTCCAAACCCCATCCAACCTGGCCTGGAACACTCCCAGGGATGGAGCAGCCACAGCTTCTCTGGGCAACCTGTGCCAGTGTCTCACCACCCTCACAGGGAACAATTCCCTACCAATATCCCATCTATCCCTGCCCTCTGGCAGTGGCAAGCCATTCCCTGCGTCCTGTCCCTCCATCCCTTGTCCCAAGTCCCTCTGCAGCAATCTTGGAGCCCCTTCATGCACTGGAAGGGGCTCTAAGCTCTCCTTGGAGCCTTCTCTTCCCCATTAGAAGCATTAAAACTTACATTATAACCAAAGGAAACTACAACTCTACTTAACTCTCTTTTCCATTACGGGTGAAAGAGAAATTTTTAAAAAATTCCATGAAAAATCATGGATCTCAAGGTCAAACCCACACAAACTCAGAGCTATTCCAGGTGAGGTTTGGCTGGCAGCATTACCAAGCACAGAGGGAACCTGATTCCAAGGAGAGGAGTATTTGGGGAAGATGGGAAGCTCCACACTAACTGATCTGGGACACAACCCATTTATGTGAGTGGTAACTCCGACTTCTTCCCAGACCTTGTCCCCAAACACATAAAACTGGATCAGAGAAAGGCTGAAGATTCACTCTTCTGTCTCCTGCAGGGGCAACCAACTTTCTCTACTGCCAGATCTGGAATCTGCTTCCTCCTCAGCATCAATTTATGGTGGCTATTTCCCTGTCAGCCCAAGGACTTTACAGCTGCATAAATAAAGCTAAAACCCTTCCAGTTCCATTAAAGCTCTGAACAAGGCACAATGGTAAATCTAAACTTGCTCTCAAAACATCGTATTTACTCCTATTTCAGCTAACCTAGAGTCAGCATCAAATTTATCACACATGCATGTAATCAGCACAATAAATACAGTATGTGTATGCTTGGAGAACTGCTCTGATAGCCACAAGATCTGTCACATCCAGGAGATACATGACAGAACCAAAATACAGTGGGTTTTGTGAGCAAATACCTAAATTACCTCTTCCAGGTGCAACAAATAACCTATTCTGTTTATGAGGAAATGAACATTTCAGAGGGTTCAGATGAGCATTACTTTATTATTTAATATTGGACTTATTTGTTTCAAAGGTTTATTGATACCTTGAATCCTGTGCTCAGTTCTGGGCCCTTCAGCTCAGGAGGAACATTGAGGTGCTGGAGCAGGTCCAGAGAAGAGCAACGAGGCTGGGGAAGGGACTGGAGCACAAGTGCCATGAGGAGAGGCTGAGGGAGCTGGGGGTGTTCAGCCTGGAGAAGAGGAGGCTCAGGGGAGACCTTAGCACCCTCTGCAACTCCCTGACAGGAGCTTGGAGTCAGGTGGGGGTTGGTCTCTTCTCCCAGGCAACCAGCAGCAGGACAAGAGGGCACAGACTCAAGCTCTGCCAGGGGAGGGTTAGGTTGGATATTAGGAAGAGATTTTTTACAGAGAGAGTGCTCAGGCATTGGAATGTGCTGCCCAGGGAGGTGGTGGATTCTCCATCCCTGGAGGTTTTCAAGCTGAGACTGGATGTGGCACTTAGTGCCATGGTCTAGTGACCACGGTAGGGTTGGACTCGATCTTGGAGGTCTTTTCCAACCTGGTTGCTTCCATGATTCTATGATATAAGAGCTCTAGGCCAAGTAGAAGCTCCTCCAGAAGAAAAGAAAAAGTCATGTATCTTCTCAAAATAAAGAGAATTTCTCCCATATCCTAATGTGCTTTTGATAAAGTCACAATGAAGGGAAATTTTCCAAAGCAAACCCTCCAAATCCTCAGCTAAAAGCTGAGCACTGCTCCAGATAATATTGCTGTAAAGAAAAAACTGTATTCCAACTCGTTGTTGTTGTAAATTTAATGGGTGTTTTAAAACAGCACATTTTAAATCCTTCTAGTTGCAGGCTCGGCTCTCCGTATCTATTTTATTCACCAAACCATTACTGCTGTTAGCAATATCTGGGCAGGAAAAACCTGTCTGTCAAACACTTGGAAGTGTTGTCCATACTTTTGAGATGAGGAAACAAAGAGGCAAGACAAAAACCTTCCTGTTAACAGCTGAGCTACTGCAAGAGGCAAACACACCACAAGGATTGGACTTGATGATGTCAAAGGTGTTTTTCAACCTAAATGATGATCTTATCAACTCCTGTTTGAGCATTTCACCTACTCCTGCTGCAAAAGCAGGGAATAAGGGCAGGAGAGATCTCACCTGCCCAGTGGGATGATCTGAGCAGTCCCTGCAGTGCTGGGACAGTGGAGGCTCTGTGGCTCTTACCCAGGTTTAGACTTGAAGATGATCCATGTGAAGATAAGGAAGGTGGTGGAGTCTGCGAGTGACCAGGTCCCTGGCTGGGCAGAGGCATTCCCACAGGTCCAGGAGAGGAGGAAAACCCAAGGCCATTATAAAAACTGTGTCCTATAGGTGTCAAACTGCTGGATGTCCTCTTGTACAGGTCACTGCTCCCTGTCAGGGAGTCTCGGCGCGAGCCACTGCCCGTGTTGGAGTTAGCAACTGCAAAGAGGAAGAGAGGAGAGTTGTGTGATGCCCACAAGCTGCCTGAGACACCTGGAGAGAGCCACCACGGCTCTAACAGCTCCACTGCACTAGGCTGGGGTTTTGTTGAGGCTGTTGCAAGTACCCAAATGAACTGCATTCATTAAAACCATGTTGATAATGCTCAAACAGAAATCCTTGGTTTAAAACATCACCTTGAGCTCTGTCTGTGCCTTTAGAGCTTTGTAGTGGTCACACTGACAGAACAGATGGAGAAACAGCTCCAGAAACCTATGAGCAGGAAGGTCACAAGATAAAAATCTACCTAAAGGAAGTGACCTCAGTGATTTTGGACACAACACTGAGCACTTTGCTCTGGACCTTCAGGAGAAGGTTGATATTCCTCAAAGCACATCACTTAGTTAAACACTAGATATTAGATGACCCTCCAAGCAGTGCTTTGTGTTTGTTCTTGGCCATTAGAGCTAAACTAAACCCAACATGAGATTTTATCTCTTCATGTTTACTTAAGAGCATGTTGAGCTTTGTGTGCATTTACCTGAAATAGGTGTGCTCACCTTTCATTAGGTTAGAAAACAGCTCCTGTTTGCCCTGAGCTTTATGGAGATGGAAATCAGAATCCAATTTAACACATAAACCTAATGGTTTTTAAGAGCTGTCTCGACAGTCAAATACAAACTCTCTAAATGCACTGTCAACTCGAGGGGGGAAAAAAATCAATTTGGCATTAAGATCTTGCTTAATAAATAGTGAAATTGTTAACTGCAATGAACTAATCATTTTTCATGACTGCACACGAGTTCTGGGAGCAGCAGCCTCACAGTTTTATTTATTGATTGAGGGAAAACCAGTTTGTGCATCTTGGCATCGAGCAAAGCAGTAATGGAATTCAATTAGTTAAATAAACTGAGGAGAAAGAAGCAAATGCTGTGTTTACCTGAGGCCAAGATGGTTCAAATTCTCAGGCTGGGATTAAAGAGAAATATTTAGAGCAACTTTTATGTAAAACTGTGATCCTGTGTGGTGACATTATGTCCCTCAGCCTGGGCTGGTGGAGCAGCTCCCAAGGCCTATCTGAACTTGCCCTTCACACTGCTGAAAGTTCAGGGCGTAATTATTGCCCCTGGGACTGAGCAGTAATTAAAACAATTGTTCTACTTCAAGTAAACAAACCTAAAGAGAAGAAAAGCACCACAGACATCTCTGGTTTGGGTTTGTTCTGAAAGAAATCTTTGTCTTCAACTGCCCAAATCAAACCCTGGTTGGGATGTTTCTTGCAACCACAAGAAGTGATTCTTTTGGTGGATGGTGGAAACAATTCCCAGAATAAAGCATGGAAAACACCTTAGATCAGCTTTTTTAAAGCCCTGAGGAGCTCCTTAGCCTTTATTCTGAGGTAAGAGCTGGGCTGGATACATGCTGGAGCCAAATCCTGTCAGTCCAGTATCCCACCAAGTACAGGCAGGGAAAAAATCCACTTAACTAGGGGCTGACTGCAAATGAGTCTAACAAACCAAGTTAATTACTTTGGTACTTGGAACTCTCATCTACTAAAAGAATTTTCACCAGAAAATGCTGCAGATTTTCAAAGCCCAAAGTAGTCCCCAAAGGGACATTCCCAGTTAGCCTGGGATGGATGAGGAGCTCTGAGCTCAGCAGTTTGAAGCACCAGTGCCAAGGCACCGCTTAGCCTCAGATGAATGAGGAGGGCTCAGCTTAGCAGCTCCAGAGGATTTCCAGCCCACTCCCTGCATTTAGGGAGGGGTTTGCTCCTCTCCTTCCCCCAGGAAGCAGCTGTGGGTCTCACCTGCTGTCCCAAAGCCTCCCAGCGCCGAGCCCAGCGTGGCACCCAGAGAGCTGCTGCTGCCGAAGCCCAGGGAGGTGTTGGCAGGCTGGGCAGAGCCCTGAGAGAAGAGTGAGCTGCTCTGGGAATTGCTGCTGAGGGAGTTGTTGCCATAGAAGGAGCTGGATGCCAGGTTGTTGGTGGGCTGCTGCTGGGGCTGAGGCTGGGGCTGCTGCGTGCCCAGAGGCCGGAATGGTCCGTTGGTGGTTCCTGCCAGTCCTCCTGCTGCTCCGTTGGCCGATGCCGCAGCTGCTGCAACTGCTGTGGGGGAAAGTAATTGGAAAAAAAACCACTCAAAAAAAATCCATTTTCATCACAGTTTTGGAAGGTAAAGCTTAGCAGGTTTCTTGTATTTACTATAGATTTTCTTCTCTGAGGATGAAAGTTTTCCTTTTGCAGCAAATTCTGCTTAAAGTCTCTGTGTTTTCTAGTTGAGCTTCCCCAAGTGTTGCCCTGAGCCCCTGAGCAGCAGCAATGCCAAGTGTTCTCATTGCTGCTTGTGTTGTTAGAGCCACACAGATCAAACACCCAGAAATGGTCCCTTTCTCCCCAGGTCCAAGCTTGAGATCGATCCAGCCCCACACTCACAAGAGCCAATTAGGAAAGACAAGTTGTGAAATCAGTGAAATGGACCTTTAGCTCATGGAACACAATCCTGCAGTGCCAAGAACATCAAACCTGAGGAGTTTTGTTTCTCAGCCAGTTCCAAAGTAAAAGAAAAAGCAAAATAAACAAGAGCTACAAGGAAACAATTAAAAGGGCCATTCTCAATCTGTTCCCAACACTGGCAGGGGCTGCTGAAACACATGGATTCTGGCTCAAAAACCATTTTAAAGCCTTGAACTCCCAAGGAAAGCTAATAAATCCCAAACCAACTCATGGCAAAGGCCAAGCATGGACCATTTCAGTCAAGGTGATCATATGACAGAACACACATCACAGACTGGTTTGGGTTGGAAGAGAACTTAAAGCTCATCTCATTCCACCCCCTGCCATGGGCAGGGACACCTTTCACCAGCCCAGGTTGCTCCAAGCCCCATCCAACCTGGCCTGGAACACTCCCAGGGATGGAGCAGCCACAGCTTCTCTGGGCAAGCTGTGCCAGTACCTCAGCACCCTCACAGGGAGGAATTCCTTCCCAATATCCCATCTAACCTGCCCTCTTGACAACGGGAAGCCATTTCTCCTTGTCCTACACAGGCTAAAAGCTTTAGCAGGTGGGAAAGCAGGTGCTAGCAGACAATATAACTGCCATGAAACCCCTACAAGCTAATTGGAGTGATGCTCCATTCCCTCTCTGAGGCTTCCACTGAGGCTCAGCCCAAGTGAGCACAGAGGATGTTCTCAACACCAATCCCTGTGATGGATCTCAGTGAGGGCAAGTGTGTCATCATTGCCAGCAGAGCCCAGAGATTTCGGGTCACCTTGCCCAGGGACAGAGCAACTGTGACTTGGTGGCACCAGGACTCACCTGCCTGAGGCACAGAGGGACTGGGACTCACCTGCCTGAGCTGCAGAGGAGCTGATGATGACAGGGGCAGGAGCCACCAGGCGCACAGGGGCCCCCAGGCCGTTCCTGGCTCCAGCATTCACCACCAGAGCTCCTGTTTGGTCGTAGTAAGCAGCAGGAGCCAACACTGGGTAACCTGCAAAGACAAAGCCAGGGCACAGCTAAGGCAACCAGCAGTGCACATAAGCAGGGTGCAACGGGGGGGGTTAAAAGAAGGGGGGAAAAAAGCAACAACCGCTCTGCTTCTCCTGAGGAAAAAGTACCTTAAGAACCCACATTAAAGTCTACAACTTGGCAGTAGTAAGACTTTCAGGTAGAACAGACCTTTCCCCTGTCCTGAATGTACTAGACTAGCATTGCCCTCAGTGTAAATCACAGAATCATAGAATTTAGGG